GAAGTTGAAGCTCCAATACTTTGGCCATCTAACATGAACAGCCAACTGACTGGAAGAGACCCTGATGCTGGGAACGACTGAAGGCAGAAGGAGAAGGGGGCAGCAGAGGCTGAAATGGTTAGATAGCATCACTGACTTAATGGACATGAACTTGCGCAAACTCAGAGAGAGAGTGAAGAACAGGGAAGCCTGGCTTGCTGCAGTCCATGGGGTTGCAAAGAGTCACACACGACTTAGTGACTGAACAACAATGAAACATCTGATACAGCAGAGCATGTCTGATTATATTGTCAGATGTCTGCTTAACACCCAGCTTCCCATCATTCTCAGAATGCAACCCAACCCCAGGGACCTCTGAAGCTTCTTGATCTGCCCTGAGACCTCTGGCTGCATCTTCTGCTCTTGTCTGCTCGTTCGGCTCTGTCACCCTGGTCTCCTGGCTGGCCTAGACCTGACCCGCCCTCTACCGGCATCAGGGCTTTTCCATGCACTGTTTCCTTTGCTTGAAGTAACCAGCCCCGCTCTTCCCCTGGGACTGGCTTCTTCTCATCATTGGGCCTTAGTTTAAAAGTCATCTGCACAGAGAAACTTGCCCTTTCTACCTAATTTGAAGGGATGTTTATCTCCTTGGGAACAGAATGTTTCTTAGATGGGCCACCACCGCCGCCTCAGGCCCTACAGTTGATGCCTGGCCCACAGCAGAGCTCAGGGTGCGTTCGTCAAGAGGATGGATGAATGAACGTTGGTCTGCAAAGGTCCCCAGTGGGTTGGAGAAAGAGCCCAGGGTCTTAACTGTCTTTGAACCTTGGTATCTTCATCTGTCAGCAGGGGTGTAGGGGCAGCCAGCTCCTTGGGTTTGCTAGGCATGGATGGGGTGACAAAGAAGCACCAGTCTTTCCACTCAGGCTGCACGTCATGGGACTCAGAGATGGGCAGCCCTGCCCACGGGGGCCCCACCTGCTCCCCCACTGCACCTTGCTCCCTGCGTCCACGGCGGCACCTCTGCACACACTACACGTGGATCAGGAAACCGGGACCCAGAAGGGGTCGCTCCTGTCTGGCTCCCCTGAGCTGGGCAGCTCTGAGCTGGCCACCTCCTCCCAAACATGAACATGGTTGCCTGGCCAGGTCTCCCCCCTGCCAGGACCGGGCAGGCAGCTGACATGTCACATGCCCTCGGCCCCCAGGGGCGGGCTCCCAGCGGAGACTCCAGCACACTGTCAGAGCTGTCAAACAATGTCCCTGCCAGGTTTTCATAAGAATCCGAAGCATCACTGCCTGATGCCAAACACCCTCTTAAGACAATACCTCCGGGGCCCGCGCGCCCATCCTGAGCGCGCCGCCTCTCCTCGGCCATATATAGGCAAAAGCTGGGGAATCCCTCTCCCCTGGCTGGACGGGGATCTGAGGGAGGTGGCCCCAGCCTTGGCGTGACCCCCGGGATCTCGCACCTCCAACTCTGCCAGCCTCTGGCCCAGGGGCTGGGTGAGGAGGCCAGGTGGGCGGACCCGGGCTGCCAGGCCAGCGGGCATGGGGCCGGCTCAGGGCCTCCTGTGTCCCGTCAGCTCGCAGCCCGAGTGGCTGGCAGCACAGGCTCTTCTTACCAAATAAGGCCTGGGCCGCGGGGCCTGGACAGGCTCAAGCTCCGGCAGAGTGGCGGGCGGCCGCAGGCCTGCCGGGTCACCTCTTCCTCCAGCGCATGGAGCCAACTGGCCCCACAGAGCCCTGTCCCCAAGGTTCAGGAGTGCCCCCCACCACCAAGAAGCCCTGGAGGACTGTTCAGCATCCCCGGGAGAGGAGCCTCTATTTAGGGCCACAGGAATGCTCGCCTTGGAACATTCAGAAAGTTCCGTTTAGAATCTGAGATGTGTCAAGATGTAGAAAGGTCCCTGGAACTCCTGCTGTGGCCCCAGGGAGCCCTGAACTCAGCCAGAGAGATGACCTGCCTGCCCCACCTCCAGTGGGGGAGGCCCACATCTGCTCCTACACCCTCAGGGTGTCCTGCTGTTGTGTGTTATCTGTAGCTGTAGTCACACCAGCAGCTCCTTCCCACTGCCTGGTCTGTGGTGTCAAAGGGTAAGGCTGGCCAAGGGGCTAGGGCAGGGGGACAGGGGCTTTAGAGCAAACTGGGGACCCCTGGGCACTGACCTGTCCCCACCTGTGCCTGTGGTGAGAAGAGGGGTGAGCACTGGCTAAACTGGGAGAACTCCCCACCATGAACCAGGCTGAGCAGCCCTGGGGGGAGCATCCTGAAGGTAGGGGGGTGGGAGGGGGGAGGGGCGAGTCTGCTGTGAGCTGGGGTTGGGGGCTTGTCGTGTCTCAGGAGTCACTGTCGGGCATGGAGTCCCCCAGTCTGCCCGCTGTTGTTCCTGTGAAGAGCTTCACTTCTTGCAACCTCAGTTTTGCCATCCTTAAAATGGGTATAATGCAAATGGTATCACATGAGTGACTGTGGGAATTCAGGTGGATCAGGTGTGCCGAGGGCTCTGCATAGAGTTGTCTGGGGATTTAGTGGGATCCTGGGTGAGGGAGGAGATCTTGCCTTTCCTGGGGGGTAGGGGCAGACAGGGGCTTGCTCCCGATGCCCCCCCACCCCGAGTTTTTCACTGCTTTCTCAGTGGCCTAGGGGAGCTGGAGTGGCATTTTGAGGTCTCCAGAGCCCCTTCCAGAGCAGAAAGCACGTGGCTGAGGGTGACACGGATGTTCGTGTGTGAACACATATGAGTGTGTGTGAATGTGGGGGTCCCCATGGACTCCCATGAACACAGCTGTGTGACTGTGAATGTATGCAGGCAAGTGGGCACTTGGACCCCTGGTGTGGGCACGGGGATGTGGTTTGTGCTGATTTCCATTTCTGAAGCCTTTCATGAGGTCTGGGAATCTCCAGGTGACAGAGCTCCCCTGCTGGACCCTCGAAGCCCCTCTCCTAGGGTGGGCTATGGAATTAGGGACCCAGTGCAAAATAAAAATGTGCAACTGCTTGTTTGAAAAGTATCAAGACTTTCAAGATGGCAACAGCACAGCATCAAACCAAGTGTGGGGTCTTTCTGAACACTGATCCCCATGTATGTGACTGCCCCGGTCCTAGCCCCTCACTCTCCCTGGCAGTTTGAGCATGTTTGACCCCGGCTGGGCTGTGGGCTCTCCAGCCAGCAGCAGTGGTGGTGATGGGATCAGCTGGAAGGGTCTTTAAAGTCTGTAAAAGTGACGCCCACCCCCCAGGCCCCCAGCCAGGAGCCCAGGTTAGGAGATGGAGCCCATGATAAACACGCTCTCCCAAGTGTTCTACAGAAGGCCGCATGAGCTTTGCTCCCTGGACCAGAAGCCAGCAAGTTTGTGCAGCACCTGCTCTACTCAGCCTGGCCGGACGCTGCAGGTGAGGCTGTCTGTGACAGGGACACCCTCAGGTGGCCGGGATGGGCTCTGCTGGATGGGCCCCTGGGGTAGAGAAGGTGAGCCCTGGAGCTGAAGGCCAGGACGTGGGGATTGGGGTGAGAGCCCCCTGAGACACTCATGAAAACCAGAGGCTGCCACCTGGGGGCTCCTGCAAGGGGCTTGGGGCTTCCCTGACGGCTGCCGCTTGACACTGGCCCTAAGGTGACACTCTGCTGGCAAAGCATGTTTCCTCCCCTCTCTGGAAAGTTCTTTGTGATCTCCAGAATCTGCCAGATGGTGCTTGAATGTGCCCACTGGGAACCTCAGGATTCTGTCCAGAACCTTCCAGGTCTTCTCCTGCTGAGTTCTCAGGTCCCTCGGGCTGGGGACTGGCCTTGGTTTGCTCACTGGGGTCTCCTGGAGCCTGGCACAACCTTCCAGTGTGAGGAGAGGAGAGAGGCTCCTTTGCAGCTCATGCCAGGAGTGGGTGTTTGTCAGAACCCTCCTCTGAGGTTGGGCTCACCGCCAGTATGATAGCTAGTCCTTTGACATTTTATTTTAATGGAAAGCCTGATGATTCACATTCATTGGCTTATTTTCTGATGTAGGAGGTCTTTTCTCCAAGGGCCTGAGGGGTCTGCCAACGACTTACGTCTTTCTCGCAAAACCCACACACCTAAATCATCGTCTGCTTTTTGCAGTTTCTCCTTCTTTAAAGTGAAGAGAGAAGGCATGTGTTCACGGAGACAATCAACCCAGAGACCTTCCGGGCAGACTTCGATGCTCTAAAGTAAACTTGTCTCTTTAATTAATCGACAAAGATTTATTTGGCATGGACTGCATGTCTGAGCTGGCCACTAGAGGCTGAGAAGCCAGAGGAAAAATGAGCTGAGGGAGGTTCTGCCCGAGTGCAGCAAGGTGGGTTTTCTGTTTTATAAATGCAGAAACAGGCTCAGAGAGGTTGTGTGAGTTACCTAAGACAACACAGCATGTGCATGGAAGGCCTGCAAGGAAGCTGAGTGCAGAAGTTGGCTAGAGGAGGTGGTAAATGGGGTATCATTTGGTGATTAAAACTCATGCTTTGGTACCAGTGGAGTTGGATTCATGTTCTACTTCTGGCACCTTGGACTGTACCTTTCCCCTCTAAGCCTGTGTTCCCTCAAACTCTGAGGGTTGTACTCTGCTACATGCCGGCCGACCTTTGGGAGCTTGTTTCTCACCTGTAAGATAGGGACAATAACAGTACCACATCAGCCAAGCACCTGATATTTATTGAGCACCTACTATGTGCCACGCACCAGTCTAGGTGTGGAGGCAACCGTGAACCAAGCGGCCCCTGTGAGTTATTGTGACAGTTTTTGGGGAATGTGGGCCTCGTGTCTGGCCCTGGTTACCTCTTCAAGCCAGAGGTGGGACACATCTGGGCAACAGGGCTGCCCGGAGGGTTGAATTTGGCCCAACAGGCCCCCAGCTCTGAGATTCCATCATCTGTCTTCAGCCTGCCAGGGCCCAGGCCAGGAGCCCCAAGGGGAGCTGGGAGAAGGACGGGGGGAGGAGTGGGGAAGAGGGGTTGTCAGCATCGTCACCCTCCTCTGGGGTAGCAACCAGCTGTCAGGCACCTGCTGATGGGCTCGTCTGTCAGATCTTCACTGCACTGCCCTGTGGACCCTCAGGGCTACCTGGTGAAGCGGGGACCCCATTGGACAGATGAAGAAACTGAGGCTCAGGGAGTGAAGTCTCTTGCTTATGACCACACAGCTTGTGGGGGTGGAGGCTGGGCAGTGTCTGTCCACAGCCCAATCTTTGAATTATTAGATAATGAAAGAAGAGAGACGGGGCGGGGGGGGGGGGGTGGGGGAGGAGAGGAGAGAGAAAGACTTGACAAGTGTAAAATGATGCCCCACTTTGGGGGACTTTCTGGACCACCCCCCACCCCCTGGTTTCCTCTGCACATGTGCCTCTCTGGGAAGTTCAGCTCACCCATCTCTCAGGCGATCTCTGGGCCTGGATGCATGACAGATGTTATTCTTCTCTGAAGATGGAGCCCCCACCTCGGGCCTGAATTTTCCTCCCTCAGCCAGGGACCTGGCATCTCTGGAAGCCTGAGGAGGCTATTTTAAACCTCACAGCTGGTTTTCATCGAGGCTGCTGATATGTGCGTGTAGAAACCTCGGGTTTGTTCTGCTAACACAGAACGAACTTTGCAGGTGAGCGAGGATGGTGCAGAGTGGAGGCTTGGGGGTGGGGGGGAAGGCGTGTGAGGCTGCGGCCTGACTTCTGCGCCCACCTGGACATTGAGAGGAGGAAGGTCATCCTCGGGGTCTCGGTGTGACCCTGACATGTCCCTTCCCATCTCTGGGCCCCAGTCTCCCATCGATGATGACAGGGATAAATAACCAGGACTTGTTAAGCACTCCCAGCACGCTCTCATCCAGCAGATCGGGAAGCAAGGTTCAGACAGGGGCTGTGGGCTGCTCGGGTCACCCAGGGGTGACCAGAAGACCAGACTGAATTCAGCTCTGGTCTGACTGTAGGGCCCAGCCTGTCTGCTCTGTCACCGCAGGGCTCCCAGGCCCCCTTCACCCTCAAATGAGGAAATGCTCTTACAGTCCCATTTCACAGAGGAGGAAACTGAGGTCCAGTGAGTGTGGTGATGTCCCCAGGGGTCTGCCCTCTAGTCACTTGCACAAGGTTTCCCCCTGCCTAGGGGCCTTCACACCTGTTCCCTCTGTCTCCCTTTTCCCCTCAAGAGCTGCTTCTTCAGGAAGCCTTCTCCCGCCCCCAGGCTAGACTCCGCCCCCAGACTAGACCCCGCTCTAGACTAGACTCCACCCTCCTTTTGGGCACTGACCGGATAGCTTTCTATTTGTCGCTGTACCCCATCCTCGCAAATGGAGTGGATGTAAACAACAGCCTTTATGAGTTGAGTGTGCATGGGTCATAAGTGCAGGGGACTCCACTTGCTTGTAGTTTTGGGGTCTCCCAAGGTGGTGGTTGGCTACACTCCTTCCTAGAGATCTGGGAAGCACCTGTTTCCTGCTCATTTGGATTGTTGGCAGAATTCAGAGCCTTGGCTGGTGGCCCCTGCCTCCAGCAAGCTCAAGGCCAAGTCTTTCTCAGTCTGCCATCTGTCTGACTCTCTCCAATGCTCTTCCACTTTTTTTTTTTTTGAGATGTCATTGCCATGTAACATTACATATATGTTATCTTCCATTCTGAAGGATCTTTGTGATTACATTGGACCTGGATTATCCCGGATAATCGCGTCATCTCAAGGTCAGCTGTTTAGATACATAAATCATGGGGATGTAACGTATGGCATGGGGACAATGGTTCATAATACCAGATTGCATATTTAAAAGTTGCTAAGAGGGACTTCCCCAGTGGTCCAGTGGCTAAAAGTCCACGCTCCCAATGCAAAGTGCCCAGGTTTGCTAGATCCCACATACTGCAACTAAGTTCACAGGCCACAACTAAAGATCCCTGGTTTGATCCCTGAGCTGGGAAGATCCCATGTGCCATGGAGCAGCTAAGTCCCTGTGCCACAACTGAGACCCAGAAAAGCCAAATAAACAAACATAAGTTCCTTAGAGGAGATTAACTTGAAGTCCTCACCAGCAGAAAAAGAGAAAACTATTTTGTAACCGTGTATGGGGATGGATATTAGTTATTGTGGTGATCATTTCTCAATGTACACAATTATTGAACCCTTATGTTGTACACCTGAAACAAATATAATGTTGTATGTCAATTACACCTCAATAAAAATAATTAATAAAAATGTAAAAAAGATTTTCTCAATATAACCTGAAATATAAAATAAAATGAGTAGAAATTTAAAAAAAAACTTTACCTTGTTCACTTAAGAGTGGGTTGTTCTAATTTGTCTAGATATTTTCATTCATCTTCTGATTTCTCATGTATTTCTTAATCCTGTTTCCTGCCTAAGTGATTCCACAACTTTAAGACCTTCCCATCTATGCATATGAAATTGTCACATATTCCAGGTGTACTTAATGTTTAATATTAAGGGAAAAAAAATCTAGTATTGTTTGTTAAGCAAAAAAAGGTCAGCTATTTAGTAACCTCAGTTCTCTCTGCAGCCTTTATTCCTCTTTGTCATATAACCTAACGTATTCATAGAGTCTGGAGACTGGGGCTTGGGCATCTTTGCGGGATCATTATTTTGCCTCCTGCATTACCTGACTCGTCTTTTCTATCACACGCGTTTATCAAATCTGTCATTATATATTCATTTGTGAGATTGTTTGTTTTCTGTCTCCCTCTCCAGGCCATTAGAGGGTTGGAGGGAATTTGGAGTACAAATTCCCTGAACGAACAGCAGGGCCAGGGTTTGAACATGTTGTTATATATCAACAAAGAATGTTCAATACTCAGTTTCTCTCCTGCCTCCAACAGGGAGCTCTGCCTAGTTGCACAGGTTGTGGACTGCACAACTCTAAGGCTCAGCTTACATCTAAGACTCTGTGATCCTTGCAGTTGGGTAGGGTCCAGCCTTTTGTTCCATGGGCCATGGCTCTGCTCCTGAACCTGGAGCTGTGTTCTCAACCCTGTCTGCCTTTGGAGTATCCAAAGGGCTTTTAAAATCCTGGTGTCCAGGCTATGCCCCAGACCAGTTGCTTTGGAATCTCTGCAGTGGACTCTGGCATCTGCATTTTCCAGGTGACTCTGAAATCAGGCTGAGACAAGGGGCTCCTTCTGGTAGGTCAGAGAGAGAGAGAGTTATGTAACACAGAGGGAGGGCTGCCCACTTAGCTACCTTTGCATAAGTGAGGCTCAGCAGCTGCCTTCCCCTCCCATGGCCCCATTTCCTCATCTTGCGTATCCTGTGGCCAATAAGCAGGCCTGCACAGGGCAGATGCCCTCATGGGCTCAGGGCTGATTTCAAATCTGCCAACATCTGGCTGTCAGTGGACATGGGCTGCTCTTGTCTATCAGCCCTGCTCCACCAAGGGTGGTGAAGTGTCTCTTGGGTGACCAACTGGCTGCAGAGAGGGGCAGGAGGCTCAAGGGTCGGGCGGAGGGAGAGTAGTTTCTTCAAGGAGCCTGTGAAGGTGTCCCTTGCTTGGGTGTCATGTGAAGGTTACTGGATGTTAAGTTTCACTTACCAACCCTGAATATTTATTGGAAGGACTGATGTTGAAGCTGAAGCTCCAGTACTTTGGCCACCTAATGCGAAGCACTGACTCATTGGAAAATACCCTGATGCTAGGAAAGAGTGAAGGCAGGAGGAGAAGGGGACGACAGGGGATGAGATGGTTAGGCAGTATCACTGACTCGATGGACATGAATCTGAGCAAACTTCAGGAGACAGTGGAGGATGGGGGAGCCTGACGTACTGCAGTCCATGGGGTCACAAAGAGTCGGACACGACTTAGTGACTGAACAGTGACAACAAGTTTCACTTCGCTTAGTTGTTGTCAGTTTGCTGGCACGTTGAACATGAAAATGTTTGCCTCTCAGTCATGCCCGACTCTGCAACTCCATGGACTGCAGCCCACCAGCTCCTCTGTCCACGAAGTTCTCCAGGCAAGAATACTGGAGTGGGTAGCCATTCCCTTCGCCAGGGGATCTTCCCAACGCAGGGATTGAACCTGGGTCTCCTGCACTGCAGGCAGATTCTTTACCATCTGAGCCACCAAGGGCATCCAGTGGGTTAACATGCTGACGTGTTAGTCGGGAATTACTTACTCGGAGGGCACTGAGCGCAGCTTGGATGTCTGGGTGGCTCACTTTTGGGGGCATGTGATGAAATGCACTGGCTGACGGGGTGAGATAGGGCATCGAGGGCTGTTGGGGTGATGCTCTGTCAACACCCTGTTCTCTACTGGGCACCTTGGGACCCAGCAGGAGGGAGGAAAGGGAGGGCAGCCTGGGGAAGCCCAGGGTGGGAGTCAGTAAGAGATAGGACTGTGGCTGGCACATCTCATCATGTGTTAGGAGTACTCATGGCCCCCTCTTGGTCCCAGTGTGAATCTGGGACCTCTTGGCTGTGCCCCACCACTGAAGGTATGGTCCCTGCTGGGACCCCAGCCCAGAGATGGGCCTGGCAGGTGTCTGCTTTCTCCAGGGTCACCCACAGCTTCACAGCCCTGGGCCTGGTGGCCCTCTGCCCTTGGCATGCACCTCTTTGCCCTCCCCAAAGGCTTGTGATCCTGTCGCTTGTTGGCTGGGGGCCCAGGCGTTTCTGTTTCCTGCTTGGTGAAGTTGGCAGTGGGGGTGGGGAGACTCGGGATCTGCTCAGGGCAGGAGGGGGGAGGACCATAGCTTCTCTCTGGGAATCCCCCAAGCTAAGACATCACTTGCTAAACTGACCCCCTCAACTGCTCACATAGCCCCTCTACCCACAGCCCTGGGGTGTCACTATGTTAAGGGTCTGCTATATCCCCTCCTCTGGTCTCATGGCCCAGATGGAGCCAGTCAGACACTGCAACTTGCACCAAGAAAGTTAGGGGGGTGGTTCTTGATGGAGCCCACCCTTCTCAGTAGTGCTGCCAATTCATTTCCGTTATAATACTTATTAAAGTGAACTGGGCACCTTTTAGGGACAAATGAGTTGAGTACAACTGGGTACAAATGAGTTATCTAATCCTCAAAAAGCCTTGGGAGACAGTTAAACTCTTGTACCCATTTTTTAAAAAGATTTTTTTTTTTTACATGGGCCATTTTCAAAGTCTTTATTAAATCTGCTACAACACTGTTTCTGTCTCATGTTTTGGTTTTTTGGCCATGAGTCATGTGGGATCCTAGGTCCCCAGTCAGGGATCAGACCTGCACCCCCTGCATTGGAAGGTGAAGTACTAGCCACTGGAGCACCAGTGTACCCATTTTGTAGATAAGAAGACCAAGGCATGGAGAGCTCGGTTGATGGCCACAGGCTCCTGGGGAGCAGGGCCAGTGTGGGGATGCGGCCTGAGCACCAGGCTCTGGGAAGAAGTTTGCTGATCCTGAGCGTGCACACGCCTTGGGAGGGGATTCTTGGCCTGGTCGGCCACAGCGGTCATGGGGAGCACTT